GCAAAAAATCGGTTCGTTAGTGTTTCATAACTACAAAACTAAGCCCCTTTATCATGGATAGATTGCATTAATTAACGCATTATAAATCAAATATTTGAACTCATTGAAACTAGAGATGGACCTACGTATTACTAAATTATTGTTATAATTTTATTTCATTGTACAGTAAATTCTCCCTAATTTTCCTTCAGTTTGTAAACGAAAATGAACAATTCGAGAAGAGGAGGTACAATTATTTGAGCCTCGCGGCTCATTTTTATAGTTACCGATCGTCAACAATTATAAAAATGAGATGCAGAGCTCGAATAATCATATCTACTCTTCCCAANCTACGCCCATTCAAATCTTATGTATTGATTTATTTAGATACTCTCGAAGCGACTTTTTTCAGATCAATGTTGATTCTCTTTTTATACATAACATACATATGTCATCAATAATCGAAGCTGACGACTAAAAAATTAAATTTTGAACGGTATGTTCGACAAAAATAAGTGCATAAAAATTACCTTCTGTTATCTTGAAACATAGCTAGACATATACTTCAAATTTTCAAACATGTCGCCAATAAAAACCAAATCATTGTTTATCTCAAAAATTACTTTACCCTCGCAAGGTGGATACTTTTGACGATGACATGGCAATCATCTTTATCAAGTCCTTATACATCAATTTATGTATACATATTCTTGAAGCTAGATTTTTGATAATAATATTGGTCTTCCTATTGATGTAAATACAAATAGGTAAAACTATGATCAAGCTGCTGAAAACTTCGTATTTGTAACTGTGGGTTGAAATATGCTCAACTATTGCCATTCGAGGGTTAAAATTGATGATTCAAAACAGAAATAATCACTTAATATGTTGATTGTCACGTCGGTCACATATGGGTAACACTACTTTCTGGCTACTTAAAATTCATTTTCACTGTGATATATTCAACCAAACTAAATGTAATTAGGATGTTTCGAATGCAAAAGAGGTAAAGTACCATCCAATGTGATAAATACACTGCGTCTCATAACTATAAAACCTCCAAAAAATGTTCAGTTTTTATGCATGGGAGTTAGTGTAATAATGAATGAAGTATGCTATATTCGAAAATGTATTGGGAAACAATATACGTTTTTAGGAGGACAGATTATGTTTAATCTGAAAAGAAAAATAGCAAAAAATCGGTTCGTTAGTGTTTCATAACTACAAAACTAAGCCCCTTTATCATGGATAGATTGCATTAATTAACGCATTATAAATCAAATATTTGAACTCATTGAAACTAGAGATGGACCTACGTATTACTAAATTATTGTTATAATTTTATTTCATTGTACAGTAAATTCTCCCTAATTTTCCTTCAGTTTGTAAACGAAAATGAACAATTCGAGAAGAGGAGGTACAATTATTTGAGCCTCGCGGCTCATTTTTATAGTTACCGATCGTCAACAATTATAAAAATGAGATGCAGAGCTCGAATAATCATATCTACTCTTCCCAAATTGTCCATTTTTGTTTACAAGTTGAAGGAAAATTAGGGAGAATTTTCTGTATATCGCGTTGAATCTTTTTTGTAATAAAGTGTTTCATTCCGTTTGTTCTATCGTTACGAAACAAGAATAAATTAGTTTTCTTCCGTTTCTCTTCTTTTACCGTTTTCCAGCATAATCTCAAATATGACATACTTCGTTCATTACCATATTAATCACGATGCATAAAAGCTGAACATTTTTAGATGGTTTTACAGTTACGAAACGCAGTCTAGACCACGGATCTTCGCGCGAAATAAAGAGTTCCTCCATCGATCGCAATAAACGAGAATTAAGTTGAAAGTTGTCTCCCGTTTCAATAATTTCCGTCGGACGACAATAACGTGTCGAGATTCTAAAATTCTTCCGACAGTTTTCCCGTTTCGTGTCTCGCCCTTCTCGTTTCAGCCGAAAAATATCCGCGGTCCGGTTTCAACTTTCCACTTACAGTTTCATTGATCGAAGCGCTTAGCTTTCGTGGGAATTTTCGGAGTTGAGTTTCGGCGTCGAACGTGTGAATAATTCTACAAAAAAAAGGAGATAGAAAAAAAAAGAAAAAAGGAAACAGTCTATTCGGATAACATCGGGAGGCTCGACCGGGGCAGAGAGTCTTCTTACCAACCCCGAAATCGAAACGGGGGTGGCAAGTCGGGCTCGAGATTTGTCGCTCCGAGGGATGGATCACGGATGGCGCCACTGTGAAGACACACAGAGCGAGAGAGGGCCACTTCCGCTGGAAGGCGAGGCGAAACGAAGTACGGTGCGGCGAGGGCTGTAAAACCACCCCCGTAGACCGACTGGCTACCAACGGGGTTTGGAAAGTCGCCATTTCTGCCTAACTACTCCGCAGTCGCTATATCCACGCTTGAATGCCAATGAAATGTCAAGGCACGTCGTGGCTTATAGACTTGCCGGCGTTGTCGAGCTGTTCGGTGTCCTCGTAAGCTCGTGCGTCGTCACGTTGTCGCGGGTCCTCGCGGTCTCGTTGCTCGCGCTCGTACTCGGGCTCCTGTCTGCGCTCGTGACCGTGCTGGTGGCCGTGCCCGTGCCCGTGCCTGTGCCCGTGCCCGTGCCCGTGTCTGTGCTGGTGCCAGTGCTCGTGCCAGTGCTCGTGATCCTACCCAAGATCCTGCCCAACATCCTGCCCAAGATCCTGCCCGCGGTTCAGCCCGCGATTCCGCTCCAGCCCCTGGCCCCGATCTCTGCTCCCGCAGCCTGCAAGGCCGAACGACCGATCCCGATCCCGCCGATCGGCTGCTGAACGAACCCACCGTACCGAACCGGGTCAAGGAAACGGAGGCTGAGCGAAACCCCCGAAACGTTACCACCGAATATCTCTGTCTCTGTCTCTCTCTCTCTTTCTATCTCTCTCTCTCGCTCTCTCCGTAACGTCTCGCCCCGGCCGACGACGCGGCGATTCTCTGACCTTGGCACACTAGCCCGACGATCGACAGTCCGTCGTCGACGACAGCAGCCAACCACCAGGCGAACCAGCCAGCCACGAACACGACCGCCCAAATTCTGGCGGAACAGAGAGAGCCCCTGATCAAAATCTTATATGCTACGAACGACGGTCAGGTAAAAGAAATCGTTCGTCGGAGACCACCGCCGAATCGTTTCGCGATGAGCGAGCAGGATGTGGATGACGTTGCCTTTCTGACAGGTGAGGCTACGCCGCCGGCCATCCGGACGATCCACCCCCGAATACATCCGGCTACACCTCTTGGCAGTGTCTCTCGCTCCTACTAAATCTTCGTTCGATGGTTCCACCTTTAATTCTCGTTCCGTTTCCGAGTCGTCGGCTCCGCGGTCGTCGCTTTTTGCACCCGGTTCACGTCGCTCGCTCCTCTAACCACGGGTTTCGAGTGTCCCGTGTTTCCCTCTTTTTCCTGCCACGTGATTCTTTTCTTTTACACGCTGGATTCGGTCGACTAGGTGGCCCACTTACGACTTTCCGGGCTGCGAATCGACTATACGAGAAGCACGTGCGTACGATCAATAAGAGAGAAGCTTCTGATCTTTCAAATTCAACCACGCTAACCCGCCTGTTCCCGTTGTGTGCGTGATATTATTGTTGACACGGTGACCTACTAGGATCGCACCGTCGGTGGGGGGCAGGGGGGACTCGGAAAAATGATGTATGCCGTTTTGTGTATTGTTGTTGCGAGATGGAAACCGAGAAATGCGCTGCGACCTCGCGGACCGTGCCGTTTGTTTTCCGAAAGGATTGCTGGATTTTGAAAACGATTCTCCGTATTTGGTCGCTGGGATACCTCGATGCCTGATTTCAGATTGTTTTTGTTTAACGATTGATTCGACGAGCACTGGAAGCAGACGGTTTAATCCTCGTACCCTCATCATCCATTTTCTGATTCTGAACACTGCGAAATGCTTCACGCTTCTCTGTTTGTATTTGCAATTGTATTTGCAAGCTATTTGAAAGTTGTCATTGTGACAGAATTATTCGATGATTTACAGTGCACGACGAAAGTAGGTGAATTAGTAATCCATTTTTAAGGGTCGTGTAGGATTTCGGTAACGTACCATGGAAATTACAGTAATGTTTTCACCGAGACACTTCACGATTTTTGTTTCAAACATGCACTAATGTACAAATTGATTCAACAATTCGTCGGAGAAGTATCTTAAGTAATCATAAGGGAGAAATCTAAATTAGGTCATTTCGACCTGTTTGATGGTTCAAGTCTTAAATCTTGATCCTGGAAACACCTAAAATCTAAAATTCGTCCGTTTAAATTTATTATTTTAATGTCATCGATATCGCAAAAAGTTTCCGAGAATATGCAATATAATCTTTTTATATATGTACATCGAATAACCTAAATCTTACTGCATTCCCAATGTAAACTATAATTACTTAGGGCTAAGTAGTTCCAGTTTAACATTGAAAAACTGCCTAAAATCTATGATTCGTCACATTTAGGTTTAGCCTTTGAAACGAGTCAAAATTAACAAGATACTTATGAAATTATAAAATGAATTTATTTATTTATTTAGTTGTGCGTATTGTAACGAGAATCGGTTCTAAACAGAAACTAGCCGCTTTAAGCGCTGTATAATTTCACCGTTAAAATTTGCAGCAAAACATTTCTCCGCGTGTCTTGGAATTTGTAGCCGACGATTGTTCTTTGTTCCGCATTGGATAAAAGGATAAAAGAATCGCGAATGTTTTCGAGGAACTGCATTAACGTTGCCGTGTGGCCTGCCACCGGCCAGTCACAAAATCTGTGTCAAGTGTGTGTAGCCCGAGATCATGAAACTCGACGCGTTTCTTGTCTCGGTGGACATGAAATTCGCAGTTCTTTCACGTTAAATTCATTTTGTTCTCTGAAATAATACTTTTAAGATATGTCGGCTGGCGTTGCTCGACGTTTCATTGTCCGTTCGATGTTATTAAAAATATTTTCACGCGTGACGCACGTTCACCATTCTTCAGGAGACCCTTTGTTCCAGGAGATAGCAACACGGGATTGCACAAACGTAGCATTTATGAGCACAATGGGGTCGTGTGTTCGCAGAAAAGGGCTCTTTGCATAGCTACCGTCGTTTTTGCGATACTTTTCGCCATATCATTCATCATTGCCTTCGCGGGACCACAAAATGGTATTATCGAGTTTACCGATTAATTTGCAAATACTCAAAATAATTCCATTGTCTAGCTCTTTGCCGTGCAATTTGCCTTTCGGCTTCGATAGTTTGACCTTCTTTGGCGCTAGTAATTTCTTAGGACACAAAGGAAATTTATTGTAATTAATATAATGCTGAAATAATGCTTGTGTAGGCATTATAATTAATTCGGAACTAATAAAAAGGATGTCTTCTAATAATCCACGTGAATCTCTTCAAGCAAATAATTTACTTATACACAGTTTTATGAAATATATTAATTTTAATAATCTATTAAATTAAACACTTTATAATATATAAATTATATAAATTAAACACAATACAAGTGTAACACACAAGTGTAACAAGAAAATAGAATTTCGTTACAAATTACAAGAAGCAAATAGTGCATATATTTATTTATTAAATTTTGTTTCAAGTCTTTACGTTGAGTCCGACTTAATATTACACGGCAAATGGTTAGAAATGGTTTTTGGAACCAGTTAGCCTATTTCTATGACGGGTGTCCCGTAGATGTCGTTTCTCTTTTTTAACGAATCCTCGTGTTTAATTTTTGCAGACTGCCCTTGCGCTGGAAAAAAGCCAGCTACCCTGGAAATCGAGGACGATGAAAAAAGCAGCGAGCCTCTTGCAACTAATGGAGAGGTACAGTCATTTATGTTTGTTTTGTTGGCTGTGTGATCATAATCCTAAAGTAGAGCGAAACATGTATGCACATACCCCTTTCGCACATAGTCGGGATGTAATGCGAGGATAATTGAAATCATGTGTTGCCGTAAAAATCTGAAATTCTTGTAGGTAATTCGATGTAGCTCGCGCAACACTAATGTCCGTTTAATTTTGTGCTTTAACCAAAATGGAAAAGATTTAACATCTTCACGTTTGTACGAACCAGTATGAAGATTTCATGCTGTGCGACATTATGCTGTGCGACAGTTATTATTCATACGTTCCCCATAAAAAATTAATAAGATTTTCATATTTTGCACGGTTATCGCGTTGAAAATATTTTCTGACATTTAAATTAATTCACGCATTTCAAGCTAATTTGTATCAAATTAAAATGTATTGCTCGTACGTTTTTTTTATATAAAAATTTAGTAACATTAATTAATATTAATATTAACATTACGTTAATATTAATTGACATTTAAATTGTATTTCGTATGTTTCAAAATAATGGAAAATTTATTATTCATACTCCTTTTTAGACAAAATATGAACAAATTAGTCACATTTTTAAATTTATATATTGTTTAATATTTACATTTTAACTCATGTATTGCAAAATATCGATAAATTGATTACTCTTGCTACTTTCGTAGAAAAAAATTAATAAAATTTTGACATTCTTTTGCAAAAATATAAAATTCACGCACGGCATTAAATCGTAAATGTTATCGAATTCATTTAAATTCTAATTCGCGCGTTTCAAATCAACGAAATTTATGATTAGTCTCTCTCGCTTAGGCATAGACGAATGAATTTTCACGAAATCAGACGCTGAAAAGTATATAGAACGGGCGACAGCGATTCAAATAAGCACACACAGCGTATATACATGCACGATACTTGTTGTATTCATGCTTGAGAGTCTTCATCTAAAGCTGAACATGAATGTGAAACATCTTGGCGGGAAATCAATTGCGAGACACGACCATAATCCAGAGCGCAAACCTGACTGCTGGCTAGTTATAGTTTATTCTTGGATGCATGGGAAGTGTATTGTCGGAATGCAAGCCGCGAGATATGCATTTCTATAGTTACACTGACTAGATCTTGGTGCAAATTGTAATTTCCTAGGTCTCTAATTCAGCTGTTAAAAGGCGAAGCTCGCATTTACACTTGGAGATTTCATCTATGTTCAAACAAAACGGAAAAGCATATTATTTCATCAATAGACCGGGGACTTTTATGCAAAACAAAAATTGCAAAATAGAATTTTCTTTCTTCCTTCAATCATTTTAATCATCTGAAAATAATGAATTTTGATATTCTGAAATTATTTTTATCGATATACTACTCTAAATCGTTCTTTTTTGTCCTAAATGAGTAAAATCTGCAGTTCACTAATCAATAATAATATTTGTATTATTTTATTTACGTTGGAATGAAGCAAACCAATAAATGGAATGAAAATAATAAAAAACACAAATATTTCCAACTCTTTCTTCTCAGATCAATATTTCCAATTTTCGAGAGTTGAACTGCAGATATTGGATTTTGTGATGGCATTTCAAAATAATTTAATCATTTATAAATAAAATAAAAATTATTTAAGTTAATTATAAGAAATATAAATTAGATGAAAATATCTTTTCTCTCTTAACGATCGTAATAAGTTGAAAATAATGTATCCTTAAATTCTTCTAATGTATTTTTAGTTTTATGTTTGACTTACTCATTTTTGTCAGAAATGCATAAAACCCGCAGCCTGTTAATGATTTTCATTGAGACTCGGATTTTAGCTTGCTTCAAAATTGTACGTCTGAAATGCATAAGGACTGCAATTTCGTTCTAACATTTTATTCGATCGCCGATACGATAATTTCAATTATTCGAATTGTTGTAGGTGTTCCCTTGGAATAACGTGAGGCTACCAAAGTTTGCCCATCCCACTAGATACAACATTACCATCCATCCAAACCTTACCACATTAGAGGTAAAAGGTACGTTGTGTTCGCATCGTCGCTTTTGCTACGAAAAATGCACAATTTTCCTGGATCGAAAGTTAATTTTCACAAAAGACAATCTGTGCTATTTAAATGCCGAATTCTGAAAAGTGTACGGATGAAGAAACTTATGTTCGTTTTTGCTTTCAGGACAGGTCACAATCGAATTCCATGTCGATAAAGAGACCAACTATATCGTCTTCCATAGTAAAAATTTGACAATAAATGAAAAGGTAAATCATTCCACTGACAATACTTTATACGAGGCGTCTTCGAATTCATGGCATAGCCTAAAAAGTCAATAAAAAAACATAGAATGACATAATCGTATTTCCATTTCCCAAATTGTCCACTTTTGCACACAATCTAAGCGTCAATTAGGGGGAATCTATTACTTATTATTCATTTATTAATTATAATAATTAATGATTATTTATTAATACTAAATAATTATCAATTTATTACTTATTGTTCATATAAATTCTGAATATACCACGTGTTCAAAGACGCCGACCAGCCTTTCAAATATTTTCTCGATATATCAAATGTTCATCGTGATAACAGCTCTCTTTGAGAAGGCGTAAAAATTTGTTAAAAATACACTTTCAGATGGTTAAAGATCGTAAAGGCAATAAATTAAAAATCGCGAAGCTTCTGGAGTATCCGAAACATCAGCAGCTTTATCTGGAGCTCGAGGAAAGCAAATTTCGGAAAAGGGGAAACTATACGGTGCACTTAAGGTTCACCTCGAAGCTGACGAGTGAACTCGAAGGGTTCTACCTTAGCAGCTACGTTACCCCGGATGGAGAAAAGAGGTCGCTGTGAAACTCTAATCGCTTAATTTCTTCGTTAAAAAATAACAGGATATTTTTTCATCTTCTAAATCATTCTATTTACGATTGCACTAAGTACAATCGATTATCAGCAACCACTTTAACATTTTAACTTACTGTTTCATTTTATATCTTCATTGTTATTGTTTTATGTGTTATCAATGTCGTTGTTTTCGATTCTCTATCATTATATCGTATGCAGCGACGCTTTGAATATGATTTTCAATTACAGGTACTTGGCCACGACGCATTTTGAACCGACGTACGCGCGTTCAGCGTTTCCATGCTTTGACGAACCACAATTCAAAGCCAAGTTTAAAGTATCGATAACCAGGGATAGATTTCACATTGCGCTGTGCAATATGCCCGTGATGAACACCGAAGAAGCGGGATTTTATATGGGAACGGGACTTGTGAGTATGAAACCCCCGTAATACAAAATAATTAGGTTGGCCGCACGTGAAATCAATTTCATAAAGCTTCACCTTAATTTTCTAATTGATTAGTAACGAATAGAAACAATTGTCAGGCGTTTTATATAGCTATAAAACTTGAGCTAATAAAAATATAATCTCTGAAAGCAAGTCGACTTAATATTGAAATTAATCGAGATCGCGTTAGATCAGTTTTAAATAAAATTAATAGAAATCGTTACATCGACTTTGAATAAAATTAAAAGAAATTCGTTACAATAAGTTTAAATAAAATTAAAAGAAATCGTTAGATTAACTTCGAAAACAATTCACATTCGATCACATTCGAAAATGTCTGTGCTGAATCTATTTCTACAAGTATCTGAAATTATCGAAATCTATCGTACTTTGTAACAGCTGTTATCGTTTCGTAGAATACACAATAAAATCGAAATGCGATCAGTGGTTAATTCACTGATAAGAGTTTTTCCTCAAACATAGGCGTACCACTGATAATAATTCTTTCTCTTGTGTCATTTTCACTATAAGTTGTTACTTTAGACTATCTTTATACTTTGTAACTATTCTCCCACCTTCTGAATTAGTACGTCCATCGAATATTAAGACGCATATAAATCTCAAAGATGGCAATGAGAAGTTAGGAATTACTATAGCTAGAAATATTTGTGTAGCAAAAAATGGTGCGTCTCAAACGAGATGCTGGATTGAAAAGATCTTTGAAAAGTTGACCAAATTGAAAAAGCTTGGTGATCTATGTAGAAGTGAAGCTTGGGACATAATCGTTCTAAAACGTGCGAATAATATTAACAATGATGTGACTTGTGTAATATTCCGCTGAATGAAATTAACTATTTCATTGACATGTCATATTTTTGACAAAACGATGTCCTCAGCTGCGCGACGATTTCCAAGAATCCGTCGAGATGTCTACATACCTGGTGGCATTCGTGGTGTGCGACTTCAAACGAGTCTCGGAGCTGACGAAGAGAAACGTTTCTGTAAGCGTCTACGCAGCGGAGGCGATGCTTCCACAAGCGCAATATGCTGTAAATACCGCTGCTCGTACAATTGATTACTTTGAATCTTTTTTCGGAGTATATTACCCATTACCTAAGCAAGGTACGTACTAGACATACTTACATACTGTTAATAAATCTCTCAACTCTTTGCGGCCCTACGTCGAGCCAGACTCGACGTCGACTTCTGCACTAATTCTTAGTTATTTTACCGATTCGCGCGATATTTATGAATAACGTCACAGTTACATGGTACGTAAAAATAACGTCGCAATTACATGGTGCGTAAAAATAATGTCATAATTACATGGTACGTACGAATAACATCAACATTATGCGGTGCGTAAGAATAATATTACAATAACACGACACGCAAGACAACTTTAGTATTTCTCGACCGTTTTAAATAAATCGTATAGGAACGTGATTGAATTATATTTCATTATAGCAAATTCTGATGTAGAAAGGAGGAAACTCTTTGTACTGCGAAAGGTTAATGCGATTAAATAATGAATACTTTACAAGAATAATTATACGCGCAATTTTATGCGAGTTATAAAGCAAGATTGTATTTTTGTTCTAGTTCCCAGAATAATGTCAACTATTTCAGAATATCCTTACATAAAGCTATTCTTGTACATACTATGAGAGTAATAGCGCCCTATTTTACAGTCCAACGTACTCATAGACTCCGCAAATCATAAGTACTTCATTGGAGACAATAGCATTTCGCTACTAGTTTGAAAGTATCAGATTTTTTCATGACAGTGAATATTCTGGTGCACAGAAATCGATGCATTGACAAGGGATACACTTTTAGCACTATGTAAATGAAAAACGTCTAAAAGAATCAATTTGATCCAATCTGTTCGAAGCTTATCCTTAAATCTAAATTTAGTGTTACATAAGATCCTTAAAGCAGAACACTTCTTTAAAAAGTTGAAGTTCCTACAGATTATTGAATCGAAGATTCCCTTATGATACTTTTAGATAGAATCTGTTTCCGCATCCGATAATTTTGCAATACGGTAGTCGATTATCGAAACAATTATCTGAAAGTATTATCTTATCGTAGTTTGTTCTATAAACTCGCCATGAGAACAATATGCACTTATCAAACTGTCCAGTAAAATTTTGAAGATTGAACTCCTTTGAATAATTATAAATAATAATATTATCGCAATCATCAGACTGCGAATCTTTATGAAAATTATCATTGTCATTAATTATTTTCTAAATATCTGACAAAGAAAAAGATTTCTTATATCGACCAGAAAATTTCTTGCGATGAATTATAGAATAATAATGCAACTGTGTGTACCACAAATGCATAAAAATTCGCGATCTAGTGATTACAGTAAATTCTCCCTAATTGNTAATATTACAATAACACGACACGCAAGACAACTTTAGTATTTCTCGACCGTTTTAAATAAATCGTATAGGAACGTGATTGAATTATATTTCATTATAGCAAATTCTGATGTAGAAAGGAGGAAACTCTTTGTACTGCGAAAGGTTAATGCGATTAAATAATGAATACTTTACAAGAATAATTATACGCGCAATTTTATGCGAGTTATAAAGCAAGATTGTATTTTTGTTCTAGTTCCCAGAATAATGTCAACTATTTCAGAATATCCTTACATAAAGCTATTCTTGTACATACTATGAGAGTAATAGCGCCCTATTTTACAGTCCAACGTACTCATAGACTCCGCAAATCATAAGTACTTCATTGGAGACAATAGCATTTCGCTACTAGTTTGAAAGTATCAGATTTTTTCATGACAGTGAATATTCTGGTGCACAGAAATCGATGCATTGACAAGGGATACACTTTTAGCACTATGTAAATGAAAAACGTCTAAAAGAATCAATTTGATCCAATCTGTTCGAAGCTTATCCTTAAATCTAAATTTAGTGTTACATAAGATCCTTAAAGCAGAACACTTCTTTAAAAAGTTGAAGTTCCTACAGATTATTGAATCGAAGATTCCCTTATGATACTTTTAGATAGAATCTGTTTCCGCATCCGATAATTTTGCAATACGGTAGTCGATTATCGAAACAATTATCTGAAAGTATTATCTTATCGTAGTTTGTTCTATAAACTCGCCATGAGAACAATATGCACTTATCAAACTGTCCAGTAAAATTTTGAAGATTGAACTCCTTTGAATAATTATAAATAATAATATTATCGCAATCATCAGACTGCGAATCTTTATGAAAATTATCATTGTCATTAATTATTTTCTAAATATCTGACAAAGAAAAAGATTTCTTATATCGACCAGAAAATTTCTTGCGATGAATTATAGAATAATAATGCAACTGTGTGTACCACAAATGCATAAAAATTCGCGATCTAGTGATTACAGTAAATTCTCCCTAATTGACGCTCAGATTGTGCACAAAAATGGACAATTTGGGAAGAAGAGATACAAATATTCGAGCCTTGCAACTCGTTTTTATAATTGTTGACAATCGGTAACTGTGAAAACGAGTCGCAAAATTCAAATAATCGTATCTTCTCTTCCCAAATTGTCCATTTGCGTGTACCATTTGTGTATCTAAGCGTCAATTAGAGAGAATTTACTGCACGTATATTTTTATTTATGTAATTATGAATATAAGTTTCCATGAGAAATCACTTTAACAGAATACTTTCGCGTGATTGTCCGCAGATTTGATAGCAATTCCTGATTTCGCCGCGGGTGCAATGGAAAATTGGGGCCTAATCACGTACCGGGAGACATCCATACTATACGACCCGCAGGAGACGTCAACGGGAGCCCATGAATGGGTCGCCGTGGTGGTAGCTCATGAGCTGGCTCATCAGTGGTTCGGTAATCTCGTCACTATGAAATGGTGGAACGATTTGTGGCTGAACGAAGGAGCGGCCAGCTTCTTCGAATACAAAGGAGTAAATCATATCTCACCGAAATGGAGCATGATGGATCAATTTATTTTGTACAAGACCCAACCGGCCCTCGATCTCGATGCCTTAACTAGCAGTCACCCCATAAGCGTGCCAGTGAAAGATCCGAACGAAATCGAAGCTATTTTCGACGACATCAGCTACAGCAAAGGTGCTTCCATTCTGAATATGCTGGAAGGCTTCCTCTGCGAAGATGTTCTAAAAAGCGGGTTGAACGATTATTTGAACACCCACGCGTATGGTAACGCAGACACGAAGGATCTGTGGGCGGCTTTCACGAGGAACGCGAATCACACCTTCGACGTGAAAGTACGTGCAAATTAAGACATTTAGTATCTACTACATTGAAGATCTTTACGCGTTTGTCGGTGTGAAAATGTTCAAAAACGCACAGAAAATTGTATAAACGTCCTTCAATTTATCAGCTTTTATTTACTTATTTCTAGTTTATTTCATGAGATTTTTACAAAATTATTATAGACGATATGTAATACGTTAGCAGGGAATTATTACATAATTAATATTATATTATCATACGTTAGTTGTTCTATTAGGAAAGAATCATATAACATGTACAATTGCAGTATGATAAATAACATTTGTGGAATAAGTTTATATATCCTAAATTTGTCATGCTCTTCATACAAGTTTACGGATTGAAAATAAAGGTGAACGTGTCTTTCAACTTAGTTTAAGTGCGCTAGTAATCACAATTAGACTACAGATTTTGATTAACATACAGGGAAACGTGTACGTTAACAAAAATTGATAATGCTTTTACATTATTTTTTACTTGAAAAGATCTTCAAATTGATAAAAGAAATCGCTGCCTCGTTAGAATTTCTGTGAAATAAACAGATGCATAGTTTGCTTATGGTATGAGCTTGATGCATACAAAATGTTTAAATTCGGTGGAGTCAATATTTGATGGGAATAATTGCGTTTGCAGGCTATCATGGACACATGGACGCAACAGATGGGTTTTCCATTGATCACGATCACACGTGACGGGAATACCATCACGGCAAGCCAGAAACGATTTCTGCTTTCACCGGCAGAAAACGATACCGAATTGTTGCAACCAAAATCGCCCTTTGACTACAAGTGGTACGTCCCGTTGAGCTACTACACAGACAAAGAACCGCGCAAGCTTCACAACGTGTGGATGAATTTAACCGATGGTAACATATACAGGACAATTATAACGAACATATTAATCTACAACTATTTAGAACTGTCATTCTTTCCTATACTTCTGTTCGAATTATTGGTCAATAATTTCTTTCGTTTCTCAAATGATCGTTAATGAATAATATTAATATAGAATTTAAAGAATGCCGTATAATTAATAATAATTGTATTAGATTTGGTCGAAACTTCTATTCAATGTGTGTTTGCTATAAAATTGATACAGAATCGCCGGTCTTTTGTTGTTATAATTATAATAAAAATCGATAACAGTGTCCCATGATCTTACGCTGCCTATAACAGATGCATGCTTTCGGAACTTACACTAATGAAAACGATTAACATATTTTTAAAAGACTCCATGAACGTGTTAAATATTTTTAGACATTGTTATTATAAATATTTCTGCGAGTATTCATTGGCAAATGCATTATGTGCATTTTTCTACATTATTTTGCGTAACGACATAAATCTTGAGATCGTCACTTCGCACAATGCATATCGGGAAGAAACAGATGAATTGATTCAGTAGTGGCTTGCTATTTTTATTCTGTACATATGTTTGTATTTTTAATCGTATTTTAAATATGCAGAACTCTAACGATAGAAATAATAAATATAAAACAGCGGATAGATTTTTTTCGAAAAACCTAATACATGTGGCGAACAAGTAAATCGATCAAATTGCACTTAGAATATCGATTCTCATGGATGAATGAATTTATTGCCCGATGATTTCTCACGTTTCAAGGACATTGCATTTCACGAAAAGTGAATATTGTTAATTTTTAGTTACGTTCGACATACCCGAGGACGTCGAGTACATAAAATGCAACGTGAATCAAAGCGGATTCTATCGCGTTACTTATCCGGAAGAAATGTGGACGGCGATCATTGATACTTTGCTGAACGATCACACGAAATTTAGTCCTGCTGATCGGGCGAATCTGATCGACGACGCGTTCACTTTATGCGAGGCGGGCGAATTGAATGCTACGATACCGCTCGAATTGTCGCTTTATCTTCTGAATGAGAGGGAATACGTGCCATGGGCTACCGCACTTGGGTATTTACACTCTTGGAAAGGAAGGTTGAGCGAGAGTCCAGGCTACAAGAGATACATTACGTTTTTGAAGCAATTGCTGACTCCGGTCACGAAATACGTCGGCTGGGTCGACGAAGGATCGCACTTGAAAAAGTGAGTATTAATTAAGAGGCAGTTATTGGAAACGATATCAAATATCTTAGAATCTAATTCGCTAATTACATCGATTTTCTTTGACAATGAACTTTATTCTTCCGAACGATATTTCCTTGAAAATAGCAGATGTCAATTTCTGATGACTATCTTCATAAAAGGATAATTCTTGAACTGGAATCGTAATTCAGCAGAAAAGTATCTCCTAGTTGTCAATAAGATTTTCTATAACATTGATTTTTAATGCAAACAAATTTTGTTTTTATACAAAACGAACATCGACAATTAACTGACAATAATTTATATAAGTCACTAGTAGTACTAATAGTGGATTTCGCGATAAAACAGACAAAATTCATATGCACGTGTTGTTAGTTAGTCCAAGTGAAATTCGTGCTATATTTTATTTAAAAATATATATGGAGATGTACGTACAAGTATTACTATTCAGTAAGATAGGAATTGCCCGGCATGACATTTTTCCCTATCTACTACAGCGAACATTAAATGATGCGTTTATTCTCTACATTTTCTGTCTTCCGCAGATTATTGAGAATTGCTGTCTTGCAATCAGCTGTAACGTTGAAATTAGAGGACGTTGTAAAACCAGCGAAATCTCTCTTCAGGAACTGGATGGTGGACGGTGAACGAATCGCTCCAAACATTCGAGATGTTGTATACGTAGCAGGTAAGTTAATAACAAATGACTTTACTATTTGTAACACTATACAAATAGGATTATATAATTAACGTTATATTTAAAAAAGAATAAAACAAACGTAATAAGCAATTAAAAATAGTATGCAGGTTAAAAGAATTTTTTGAATATTTATTAGGTCTACCGGAAAGTTCTGTCTGATAATGTCATTGCAAATTTCAATAGATATGCACATATTCATTTGAGACATATATTTTTGGAAAATGTTGCTCACAAATTGCCATCACGCTGGCAAGAGGTCAGAAGTAACGACGGAAATTATATTGTACAATAAATATTATTAAATTTATGAAAAATCTATCCTTTCATTTCTCAAACGGACAGAACTTTCCGGTAGACTTAATAATTTCTATTTCTTGCAATCGACGTGGACAATTCTTATTTTGCATAAAAATCCAGCTTAATAATGAGTATTGACGAAAATGACGAATTATGGGTTGTGGCTTATTTGTGCTTTAGACCAGTGCTCGGAACGCAACATTGGAATCCGCCTCCTGACTATTACCGCCGCTGCGTCTCGCTCACCGCGTTGCTTCCNATTAAGAGGCAGTTATTGGAAACGATATCAAATATCTTAGAATCTAATTCGCTAATTACATCGATTTTCTTTGACAATGAACTTTATTCTTCCGAACGATATTTCCTTGAAAATAGCAGATGTCAATTTCTGATGACTATCTTCATAAAAGGATAATTCTTGAACTGGAATCGTAATTCAGCAGAAAAGTATCTCCTAGTTGTCAATAAGATTTTCTATAACATTGATTTTTAATGCAAACAAATTTTGTTTTTATACAAAACGAACATCGACAATTAACTGACAATAATTTATATAAGTCACTAGTAGTACTAATAGTGGATTTCGCGATAAAACAGACAAAATTCATATGCACGTGTTGTTAGTTAGTCCAAGTGAAATTCGTGCTATATTTTATTTAAAAATATATATGGAGATGTACGTACAAGTATTACTATTCAGTAAGATAGGAATTGCCCGGCATGACATTTTTCCCTATCTACTACAGCGAACATTAAATGATGCGTTTATTCTCTACATTTTCTGTCTTCCGCAGATTATTGAGAATTGCTGTCTTGCAATCAGCTGTAACGTTGAAATTAGAGGACGTTGTAAAACCAGCGAAATCTCTCTTCAGGAACTGGATGGTGGACGGTGAACGAATCGCTCCAAACATTCGAGATGTTGTATACGTAGCAGGTAAGTTAATAACAAATGACTTTACTATTTGTAACACTATACAAATAGGATTATATAATTAACGTTATATTTAAAAAAGAATAAAACAAACGTAATAAGCAATTAAAAATAGTATGCAGGTTAAAAGAATTTTTTGAATATTTATTAGGTCTACCGGAAAGTTCTGTCTGATAATGTCATTGCAAATTTCAATAGATATGCACATATTCATTTGAGACATATATTTTTGGAAAATGTTGCTCACAAATTGCCATCACGCTGGCAAGAGGTCAGAAGTAACGACGGAAATTATATTGTACAATAAATATTATTAAATTTATGAAAAATCTATCCTTTCATTTCTCAAACGGACAGAACTTTCCGGTAGACTTAATAATTTCTATTTCTTGCAATCGACGTGGACAATTCTTATTTTGCATAAAAATCCAGCTTAATAATGAGTATTGACGAAAATGACGAATTATGGGTTGTGGCTTATTTGTGCTTTAGACCAGTGCTCGGAACGCAACATTGGAATCCGCCTCCTGACTATTACCGCCGCTGCGTCTCGCTCACCGCGTTGCTTCCATCGGTTACAGCGCGGGGAGCGAGACGCTGCGGCGGTAGTCAGGGGGCGGAGCCCAATGTTGCGTTCCGAAATGTTCCGAGTACTGCTCTAGCTTCATTAGAAAAGTTTTATCAAATTCAATGACCCAACAACTGGGAGGTCGCATTTTTAAATATGAGAATTGCGACTAGAAGAATTTAAAAAATCATGTTAGTGGCATTCCTGAATATAATACTTTCATCGTCCTATTGAGCGGAATCTAACGACTACGAATGTTTCAGAAACTGACCGACCTGTTACCACAAACACGCCACTACTATTTTAAAAAAATACATGAAATCTGCTTGCAGGGATCAAATTTGGTAATGAAGAGGAATGGAACTATTGTTGGCAGAATTATCAAAATACTCAAGTACCTAGCGAGAAAAGAATAATGTTGCAAGCATTGGGTGCAACAACAGATTCCTGGCTACTGCAACGTTACCTCCTACGTTCGTTAGACCGGGACGTTGTAAGGTCGCAGGACGTTGAAACTGTCATAGCCTCGGTCGCTAGTAATCATGACGGTCAGTTTATCGCGTGGCGACACATTAAAGCACATTGGCCGCAAATACATGCTTTATTTGGCAACGGATCGCTGACAATGGGAGGACTGATCTCCGTTGTCGTCTCCGATTTCTTCACGGAGTACGATTACTACGAAGTAAGTTGAAACCTCATTTTGCATCTTCACTGAATTATTTTACCTTACTTTCTATTTATTTGAATCATTTTATCTACTTATCTTTCCGTTCGTCATTAAAAATTATATAATGCCGTGAAACAAATTGAAAACCATAGTTCCTTTTTATTTAACCATTTGTATATAATTATTCATTTAATTGTTAGGTAGTTGCCAAGACGTGGTATTATCGATACAAAAGAAATTATCCGAATTGTTTTAAATATTTTCATTCTTACTTTTACTTTTACGTTATTTCAAATAATACAATTAAATTGCTTATTGTAAACTACTCGTATAATTTCATACTTTTTCTCACTGGCAAATAATTTGAAGAATTAAATGGAAAATGAAATATGTTTATTACTATTAATCACGATCTGTATCGATCAATTTACGCTAGTTTAATCAATTCACGCGAACGTTAATCAATCGATCAATATTTGGAGGAAAAATAGCTTTAGACATTTTCGGAAACATTCCTTTCCTGTAACGAGATGTCTTCGCTGTAAAATTAAGAAATTAATTCTGCTATCGTCGCGGCAGCATTATTTTTAATGCGATTAAGTAATTAACAGCTTCGTCGCGACCCGCAGGTGTCGGAATTCTTTAAAAGGGTGGACGTTGGCAGCGGGCAACGAGCACTGGAGCAAAGCCTAGAGAAAATCAAGTTCAACATACACTGGGTGAAAGAGAATGCCGATGTGGTCGACAGATGGCTCATAAACTATATGAACGTTCACACGAGTTAACCCCTTGCTCATAGGGAATGGAACAAAAATGACGCAGAACTATCATTCAGTAATTCCGTGACGATCCTTACCTTTTTCGTGGTCATCATCGACGCATGATGGCGGGCGATGCACCGAAACGAAAACGTAAGATCTCTGTCGTCGTACACGAGGTAATCGAAATCATTTATTTACCACTTAGATATAATTCGCAGATCAAAAATGACCCATTTCCGTCATGCGCGTCGAACGGTTACTTTCGGCGGACGATCTCTGACAATCCTTCGATGAACGGAGAACTGTTCGAGATGCACCGATAAAAAGAAAACCAAATAAAAACCAAAAAAAGAAAAAACGAAACGAAGAAAAAATCGAAAAAATATATTGTCCTAAGCGAAACGAAAACGAAAAAAAAAAGAAGAAGAAAGAAATGATTTAGCTGCGCGAAAACTCTCCCCGCTGGAAAGAATCATTCGACGCATCGAAACAAAGCCGAATTGTTTATATGTAACACATTATACACCGATTTATACGCACTTTCGAAAGTATTTATTTATTATGCACGCAGTGCGTGCAGATTGGATTACTATGTATAAAGAATGAAATTATAGAGAGAAGAGAGACAACGTTGTTCCTAGGATAGTCGCTGACCCATCATTTTCCGACAAAAAGAAAACAACAAAAAAAGAGAGATAAGGGGCTACCGACAAACGCCTGATAACGTTGATACTTTAGTCTCCTAAATATACTATACTTTATTACAAGGAGTGACAGTAGTCGCCTCCACGTGATACTCAACCCCCATTTCTGATCCATCCAGTACGCTAATCGAACAGAGTGAAGTGAGCTTGCTGAAAAATTCGACGGAACGATGCTACTTACACAATTTCGTAATCCAGTGATAAGCGCCGCAACAGGAGTAGCCTTAACGCAGTGTCTGCGATTTAACCATAATTTTCTCTTGGCCTAGAGCACGCGAAATTTCAACCGATCCTTCGACCACAAACCTCTTACTACAATTTTTTTTCCGATCTACAGTCCACACAGTCCGATGTACAGTCTCCGATGTTCTAGATCACTAGACTGCGGATTCTCGGCGATTCCCATGGAAAAGAGACACGTTATATCGACTCGTTGTGTTCATTTTATTCAAATTACCGTAAACTCTCACCAATTTTCCTTCAGCTTGTAAACAGAAATGGAGAAATCGGGAAGAGGAGATACGATTATTCGAGCCTTGTTGCTCGATTGTTGACAATCGACAACTATAAAAACGAGCTGCGAGCCTCGTATGATCGTCTCGCCTCTTCCCAAATTGTCAATTTTTGTTTACAAGCTGAAGGAAAATTAGAGAGAATTCACTGTATCCAAAAAGAAATGAAACGTTTTGATTCCGATTTACTTGCGACCGATGCAGGACTGTTTTATCTTACATTAAGATCCGCGGTCTGGAAATAACAATTACGATTGTAAACCAAGCGCTTGCGTAAAAATAAGAAAGATAGTTTCGTTTCTACGTCAAGTTACAAAGGAGATGCGAAACTACGTTTACGCATTTTTGCGTTCGGTGAAAATCACTTTCGGCAGAGTGATCCGTGGTACGAATGGTGTTCAATGAAAGAGGACAAAAGTTTTTTCTTAAATTTTATCGTAAAGTGACTCGCTAGAATAAAACAGTTGCGTTTTGCTAATAAAACGTTAATTTAGTCTACAAACACCACGATTAAAACGACCGACGTTTTTTTGGTCCGCATTTAACAACGTATGCTAGTGAAAAGGTGACTATAGTCGCTCGTACAAATTTTTGGTGCGTCAAAGATTCTCGTTTATTATTGACTCTTTACGGGCGAGAATGTTTTTTAATATTATAAATGTTTTACCCGGTGTACTAGATTGTATTCGAAGTCTCGAAATACTAATCGAGAAATACGAGCTAAACTTTTATCGACTTACGACAAAGGGACAAAATTGTGTTATTTGCATTTGTCTGTAAACTCGTCGCGCACGCGTTTAAGATAACTCGACTAAGAAATCCGACAAGCGACAATGAAAGATTTGCAAAAATTCGTCGAACGCGAGATCTTGGTTTACGATCACCGGTATGAAGATCAGTTGGCTGCTCCCGTAAGACACAGTGCAACTTGCTGTAAATAAACACGAGGAACGACGTTACGTTTGCGTTAGAACCAATCAAGTAAGCATAGAAACTTCCCCGGAGCGATCTTGCGAACAAATGGTTCTTCTAAAAGTAGCATATCAACACGATAGAAGGTTGGCGAATCTTTGTCGGCCGAGTCTTTGTCGAAAAGCGGAGTTCTAGTTCCCCCCTGGAAATACTAATCGGACAAAGAAAATTTGGCCCCGGAAAAAAAACAGCCGAACATATTGCGAGGATTGTATATGTCCCTCGAAGTAAATACAACAAAAAAAAATTCGATGTACCGTGTGTCATGTATTAATGTCGCTGCAGATTGCTGGAGGCGCGGGACACGTCTCGCGTGGAGCTGATCATTCTCCATGTAAAGTAGCATAATAGAGAATCGGATATTTTATTATGGACAAATGTATAAAAAGTTTATGTATGTAACCATGTGATGCTTTGTGTGGTGTGTACATATTAGCGTAAGAGTGGTTGTGTGCCCTGTGCGTGATCGGATGTATTACAGAAGGTATCTAGATTGTAGATGGAGGACACATTCATGCCAAATTTCTACTGGCCTTTATGAATATTCGTGTGATTTTGGCGGTGATCGTCAGCTCGAGAATGCTAACCGATTTTCCGTTTGCTGGTATTAGAAGTTTTCCCTTGGGATCGCATTTTACCTTCTTATAGTAATTATCCATTGACAATAAACACGAAGAGAAGGAAAAGTCTCGAGAAAAGGTAAGGTGGACCGGAAGCGATAGTGACACTTTCGTTATGGAATAGGATCACCCAAGAAACGTTTACGTTCACCACAAAAATTGCAGGCTGCAAATTCATCGTGCAATTTTCGAATAGTCTCAAGCATAGTATACCAAAAGGTCTCAATCTTCTTTGGCTCATAACGCACTAGTCAATTATGCACACTTCGTAAAGGGTATTTGACCAAACGAATCAAAAGTCTATCATCGTAATCGTTCATTGTTATCGTCATATTTGACGTGAAAAATATTCTCACGAACGATAAAGGTAGATACAGTGGTAATTTTCTGAGTAATATACACCTAAATAATATTTTCAATCTTCACAATTTCGATAAAATATTTTCGTGCTTCTTTATTTATTACTTTAACACAAAGTTATTAGACTTACAATGTTAACGAAGTTATTATAACTTGCTGGTATAGATGATTGACTTTTATTTGATTGATTTTTAAGAAAATAATTTCAACTAATAATACTTTTAAATACGATCATCCAAGAACATTTAGTAATATTATGGTTACTAATGAAAAAAAATAGAAATGAAGAAAATGTATAACTGACCTCAACTGCCAATGATACAATCGTCACCGACCATAATTTTTAACTTCAATTATAAATTCTGACTAAGCAATGATCAGTATTATTATAAAAAGAGTTAGTTTAAAAACTAAAAACAGTAAAAACAGATAATCGCAAGAAGAATATTCATTAAAAGCATGTAATCGATAGAAAAGAATTACTTACGGATAAAAGTTATTTAGTTCACTGTACATGTGTCTGTATCAAAAGTTTGTCTTCATATCGATCTATTATGTGTGTCAAGATATTATCGCGCTACTCATTCGCTTCCGGTCCACCCTGTTGCTTCGTTACGTTTCCGATGAATGAGAAATTAATTTAGCATTCGAAGGTTAGCGAACCAATTTTACCCTACAAAAGAGAACTGTAGGACACGCTGACATTGTATATACGTATAATACGAGGAAAATAAGATCGAACAGGAACAAGGTCCACTTGTTCCGTTCGAAACATTTCGGGACACCTTGTACACGTTCGGATTTTGTTCCCCGCAAACCGATTTTCGAATACCGCTTCCGTATCGGCCGAATCCCACGAATATTTGATTTCGAATGTCTTGTCGCTGGACTGCGGATTTTCTGCGTTCATGACAAATGTATGCGCGCGAATCGACTTATAAAAATCGACAGAAGAGAAAATCAATTTCTATTCGACTCCTGTTCGCCTTTCAGTTGCCTCGGGAAATGTTGATCCTGCGAGATCTGCAGTTTACTACTGAAAAATTAACTAAAACTCGTTCGAACGAGAATTCGCAACGTTCTAATTGATTTCCCGCGCTTAGAACACATAGATCTTGAGTTTGTTCAGAATCGATATCGCAAATTTTTCTAAATAACTAACACATTCGCTTTTGATAACATATACCGATACAAAGCATTGAAAAATTAACTAAAACTCGTTCGAACGAGAATTCGCAACGTTCTAATTGATTTCCCGCGCTTAGAACACATAGATCTTGAGTTTGTTCAGAATCGATATCGCAAATTTTTCCAAATAATTAACACATTCGCTTTTGATAACATACCGATACAAAGCATTGAAAAATTAACTAAAACTCGTTCGAACGAGAATTCGCAACGTTCTAATTGATTTCCCGCGCTTAGAACACATAGATCTTGAGTTTGTTCAGAATCGATATCGCAAATTTTTC